AAACAAGTTATTAGGTGAATTTCTTTGAGCATTTCAAAGCACTTCTTGCTGTTTACTGTCTTCCCCATGTCTTCTTATGGCCACGTGACCACAGGTCAATTGCATGACGTCTTTTCATCTGTAACTTAGGAATGGTAGCATCTCGTTCTCAAAGTTGTGGGGAAGATTGAGAGACATCACTTAATAACTATATTGTTCCTCATTTTCTTCCAATCTGTAAGGCCTGCTAAAAATGAGAGCTCTGTATTCCAATATGAAGCATGATATCTCTCTCTTATTAAGAAGCTTTCCTTACTCCCTAAGTAACACCCTCCAACATTCTCTTCAATCACATGTTTGCTTGAAATTTGCACACAATAAAGCTTAATTTGCTTCATTTAAGATTTCACTTAGCAACCTCTAATCTTGCCACTTTTATCATCTAGCTCTTTCAAAGAGATTGATGTTATAAAACAAAAGTTTAAGGGAATCTAAGTTCATTCAGAAAATTTGAAAAGCCTTATATTAATATACTTTTAAGAGAGGTAAAAGAGTTTTGCCACAATAAAGAGATTAAGTTCAGAAATGAGGATTTCCAAGGTGGGAGTGTCATGTAATCAGGCCCCTAATCCACAGAGTAGCTGTTGAGAGCAGAGGCTGTAGCATTGAGGTAGAAAGTCCCCTGCCATCACCTGGTGCTAAAAGCTGAAGCTGGTCCTCATGTATATAATGAGTCATACAGCATGGGAGTTGTGGGTTAGATGAAAGAAGTTCTTCTAAAGTCTGTTGTATTTTGGGATAGACCGTAGAGAAACATTCACAGTCTACTTATAATTTTTAAAAGCAAGTTAGGGTGAGGTGTGTTTCTTTCTTAGGTCAAGCAGCTATACTGATGAGCTCGTAAGGCCCCCCTCTAGTGCCAGGCTTCTCCTCTGCTCTGGCTCTCTCTGTCTTCTCACTCTCTATTTTGTCTTTTTGCATGTGTGTGCCTGTGGCCTGCTTGGTACAGTGGGAAGAAGTCAGTGGCTACGATGAAAACCTGAACACCATCCGTACCTACCAGGTGTGCAATGTCTTCGAGCCCAACCAGAACAACTGGCTGCTCACCACCTTCATCAACCGTCGGGGGGCCCATCGCATCTACACAGAGATGCGCTTCACTGTGAGAGACTGCAGCAGCCTCCCCAACGTCCCAGGCTCCTGCAAGGAGACCTTCAACTTGTACTACTATGAGACTGACTCAGTCATTGCCACCAAGAAATCAGCCTTCTGGTCGGAGGCCCCCTACCTCAAAGTAGACACCATTGCTGCAGATGAGAGCTTCTCCCAGGTAGACTTTGGAGGAAGGTTGATGAAGGTCAACACAGAGGTCAGGAGCTTTGGGCCTCTTACTCGGAATGGTTTTTACCTTGCTTTCCAGGATTATGGAGCCTGTATGTCTCTTCTTTCTGTCCGTGTCTTCTTCAAAAAGTGTCCCAGCATTGTGCAAAATTTTGCAGTATTCCCGGAGACGATGACTGGGGCAGAGAGCACGTCTCTGGTGATTGCTCGAGGCACGTGCATCCCCAATGCAGAGGAAGTGGATGTGCCCATCAAACTCTACTGCAACGGGGATGGGGAGTGGATGGTGCCCATCGGGCGCTGCACCTGCAAGCCTGGCTATGAGCCCGAGAACAGCGTGGCCTGCAAGGGTAAGCCCTGCAACCTCTTGAAGCTTCTGCTTTCTGCCCACCTGGGTCAGAGCTTAGTTGAAAAGTTTTCCCACCTCCAGCTCTGGATTGTAAAGGAACAGAAGAGCCTAATTGCTCATTACAAAGCTCTGGAGAATCTCCATCCCCAGTGCTAGGCCTGATGATTTTCCGGTGTGTCAAACCAGAATGTCAATATTTGCAGTGGGGGCAAGAGATGGGGAGAATTCCAAATGGTGAATAATAACCTAATAACCACTCAGATACATTTAGTCTGGGGACACTGACATTCATTCTCTCTCTCTCTCTTAGACAAACACATTTACACACACACACACACACACACACTCTCTCTCACTCACTCACTCACTCACTCACTCACTCACTCACTCCTATATCCTGTCTAGCACCACACTCTGAGGCATGGAGAATTTGGGTTGTCGTGGACAATTCAACAATTCTCTCAAGGGTAATTGAGAAGTGCCTGAATTTGAAAAATATTTTAGTTCATTCCAGTCCAGTTCCCATAGCACTCTACTTGGCACTGAACCCATGTAGCTCATTAACTCAAAGCCTTCTGGCTTGGCTGTCTCCCTCCAGGGGCTCAATGCCAGGCCCTAGGGCAGGGATAGTGCCCAGCTTTAGTGTGTCCAGGAAGGAGATGAAGCTACTAGAATGAGGGTGGCATGGAGCCATGTGTTGTGTTGCCTTGCTTATGAATGACACAGAGGGATGCAAACGTTGCCGCTTGGGGGTGTCAGGGTCCCGTGCACCCGCATTAGCTCTCCTCGGTTCAGGAGAGCACATGTCCAACACATGGCAATAGATGTGCTGAGCTGGCTTGAGACTCAGTCTTCTCTGGGAGTGAATAGAGGGGACTAGAGGGCCCACAGCTTATCTGTTGCCTAAGTGCATGCAAGCTGAACATGGCAGGGAATCCAGAGCTGGGGAAGAGAAAACTGCTTTCCTTTATTAAATTTTATTTACATCCTTCAAAATTTCACACTCTTTCAAGAACAAGCCTTCCCACATGGACCTCAGAAATGACCACTGTGACCCTAACTCATCACTCGGGTTACCCTGAGTTCTTTGGGGACATCTTGAAGGCGGGGGGTTGTATTAGCTCCTTCTCCATGATGATGAGCTCCATGCCAGTTGTCTTCCCCACCATGCCTGGGCAGCAGACCATCCCTTGCATGTCTCCTGCCCCACTTAACTTGCTCCCTAAACACCTGCAGGGAGGCACCAGGCACAGGGTTGCTAATGCCCATCAGCTCTACAATCCTTCGGACTCAGCTAATTGCCTGGGCTGGAGCACTTGCACAGTCTTTCTGAGGCCTGCTGAGAGCCGAAAGCTGTGCCTTTGTGTCTTTATTGGATTTCTTGGTTATGGTACTCGTGATGGATGGTGTGGAAACAGAGGGGAACGAGTGCCAGATCAAGGGATGAATCAAAGCAGACAGCTTTAAAGCCAGCCCAGCCTGGTCCCACAGCTTTCCTCTTTGTCCCATTGGTTGGGGGTGGAGCAGAGGCGCCCTCTCTGGCATCTGTCAGGGTCTAAGTGGGGACCCAAACACTAGGCTTAGTTCTTAAAGGTGCAGGTGCACCAGCTGCCAGGCATGCGTGCACGAGCTGTGTGATTTCTCCAGGCTTCAGAGGGCTGCCACGCTGCACTTGCTGACTGGGGCCCTCTCGTTTTCCTCATTATTTCCTGAGCAGAATGGCAGGAACTAGAGCAAGCATTGATTAGTTCTGATTTAATTGGTACTCTGGGAACAGGCTCTCATTGCTTTGGGCTAATTGGAACTTTTCTCTTTTGGGGGGTTCTGCTGTCTGAGCTGCTTGTCAGTCACCTCCTGTGGTTGTCCTGGGAGGGCCTCTGGGGACAAATATGTAAATCCAACTGATTTCTTTCCACCCTCCTTACTCAACCCAAGCCCCCTAACTTCTGGTGGGCATTCTTAATCTAGAACTATTGTGAACCTGGCTTGACTTCACAAACTTCTTATTGCAAACTCATTGCGGGGTGGAGAAATGGGGAGCTCGGGGCACCATCACTTTGCTATTTTGGAGGCACAGGCAGCCACATTTTGGTGGCATTTCTGAGAGTGGAGGGTGGCAAGCTAGGCAGCATTATGGATTCTGTGGCCCAGTAGCCCGGCTGAGCTCAGTGCTCTAGAAGAGCAAAAAAGCCCCCTTCCCACCCCTTTTTCTATCTCAAGAACTTCTAGCTGCATCCTTCAGATTCTTTGTCCCTGGCTCTGCTGGTAATACAGCTGTAATGACTGAGCCTACCTCCTTCACAGCAGTTCTTGGGTGGCCTGCCTAGAACAGCCTATCCTGTCCTTTCCAGAAGCTCAGAGAAGGGTGGAAGCCAGAGAGTTCTGGGCGAGAACAGCAAGCCTCCATCAGCTGTCCTGGTAGGACTGGAGAAAGAAGGCAAGCTACTCCCTCCCAACACCCTGGAGCCTGGCTGGGCAAAACCTACGTGGTTCTGTGACTCACAGTTATGTTGATAAATTTTCTTTTTAGGATATTTGAAATTGGGCCTTTGCATGTGTCAAATTGATAGGGTGGCAGAAAAATATGCTTTATATTGCTTTACTGGCAAGGCAGACTCTCATCTTGAGCAGGAACCTTGTTCTGACTGGCTTTGCTTCTGCTGAGCCCTTTCCTGTCAGTCATGGTGACCAGTCAGTTGGTTGTGCAAAAGTACCTGGGGAGCTCAGCCAGCAAAGAATGGTCCCGGCCTAGAGGAGGGAGGGTGGAGAGAGGACTCGGGGCTAGAATAGGAAGCCGTGGGGGGAGATTGTGCATTAGGATGTGTGGCAAGCAGCTGACATGCTTTCTAGAGAGCTCCAGTGCCCAAGGCCTGTTCCAGGCTCATCTTTTCTGTGCACACCATTTCGACTGATCAGGCAGAACCACGGCAGCCTGCTCTCCCCAACTGTGAGTCTGACGCCAACACGTGTTTGTCTCTATGAAATTGTTAATTATTAGGAAAATGGTCCATCTACTTCAGCTTCAAGTTTTATGCTCATAGGATAGTGGACTCTTGAGAAATCATGGCTTCACTTTTACTCACACCCATATCTTCCAGAGCAGGTTGATGGCTAAGTCAATTTTCCATGTGGGTCCCTGCAGCCTAACTGTCCCTGGGGCCAGGGACACCAAGAGTTCCTACTCAGCAAGCTCTTTCTGTGCTGAAGAACCTAAGATGTTGCATCAGCTGAAGTTGGTCTCCAGAGAGGATGCCTGGGCTGAGAGTAATAATTGCTAAGGGGAAACTGGCGTCTTATCAGTTTGTTAGAAGTTTGGGGCTATAGTACCCCATATGGGCGGCCTGGGAAGGCTCACAGGTACTGTGACAGCCTCTGGCAGCCAGATCCTAGCTGGAACAGTGTACACAGGGGTCTTGGATCTGTTTCTCCCAGGAACAGTCCCTGCAGTTTTCAAAAAGGGCTGCCTTATTGGCCCGCCTCGGCAGCCACAGTCAGGATTCAGGAAATGGCAGCTGTACACACCCTCCTACCCTACTGGGTGTGCAGGCCTGCTATGGCTCACCGCCACGGAGTGAATGCACTGACCTTTGGTCGGTGTGCTGTGATTCGCAGGAGGGTTCAGGTGGACAGAGAGGGGAGGGGGCTTGTGCAGGCAGAGGTCTACCCTAGTGACAGGAGCTGGTCTGAGTCCTGGCTTTGCTCTGAACTTTGTGGTGGTTTTTATACAAGTCCTTTTACATTGAGAGACCTATTTTCTATGCCTGCCTTTTATGGTGTATGAAAGCCAAATAAGAGAGTGGGATATGAGAATGTTCTTTGAGTCATGCTGTGCCATATATTGCCAGGTGTCATTGCCCTTAAGCCCTAACGCACACCACCTGAATGGCTACTGAAGGAATAAGATTCTGGAATGAGAGTGGCCTTTGGTGTCCCCACCCAGAGACACAGTCAGCTGGCATCCTGAACGCTCAGTCATCACCTGTCTGCACCTGCCCAGGCCCAGCCCCATGAGTGTCCAGCAGTGACCAGTGAGATCAGCATAGAGACGTGATCCACTGTCCCTCAGCAGGTCGACAGGTCATCAGCGTATGTTTGAATGGTGTGGCCTTGAGGAAGGTGATCTAGATAGGGGGTCTTTGCAAGCTGAAGGTCTGCATTGGGAGAGAAGGCTACCCAAACCTAAGAGAGAATGGTGGTTTTCTGAAGCAGCGACTCTTGATCAGAGGGTGGGCATGAGAGCCCATAGGAAAGGTTTTATAAAATGACATCCTCAGTGCGCCCTTCTGAGATTGTATTGGGTGGATTTGGTGGGGGCCCAGGCTGAGAACCCCAGGTGTAATCTCTAGTCCAAGACCATCTACTCTTTAGGAGAAGGGAGCCCTTGGGGAGGTCACTGAAGGCATTCTTGGATTTCTAGGACTTGTAGAAAGGGCAGACCTGAGAGGACGTACAAGGGGTCTGGGAGAGGGAACTTCAGGCACAAGCTGGAGGCTGGGTGGACGGAGCACAAGGCCTGCATACCCGCAGGGATGAGATGCTCAGAGCATCACTGCACCTTGAGTGGGACTGGAGGCTGTGTGAAGGCGGGGCAGGGCCCTGATGAAGCAAGAATTGCATTTGCCACCTCAGCTGCTAGAAAACTCAAGAAGGGCTTGGGGCTGAGGAGAGAGGGGCAGAAAGCTAAGGACAGACTGTCTAGGGGGTTAGAAAAAAGGGCAGGCTTCCTTGCCACTGGTCAGCACCAGCTTGGTCACCCCTGACTGTCCTTGGAGCAGCAGGGGTCCACCACTGTCATCAAGGGTCCAGTGGAACCTGTAGGCTTCCTGTGCCCTGCTCAGGGCCTGCCAACCAAGGCTGGGGCTGAGGATCCATGTTCCACAACCAGGGAACCTTGTAGCCTTCCCGGGGGGCTCTCAGGTCAGGTAGAGCCATTCCAACCCTGGATGTTGGCAGGTCCTTGACAACTCCTAAAGAACAGCGCGTTCCTTGTCCACCCATCTC